GTCAGGTAGATTCATCGTTGAATCACTCTTATCTAGCTTTTCTTTCTCTCTTCTTCCTCCTCCACTTCTGTGAATAAATATTTTTTCTTCTCTGCTCCTCTGGCCCAATCCTTTTTTACAAAATCAGTGCCTGCCAGCATCGCCTCTTGTATATTTTTGAGTTGAAATCACATTGAATTTACAGAAATGGTAGTGAGAATTGGTTACCAGACTCCCAAACTGTAAGCATTTGCCCTTGGAAATATGAAACTATGTAACTATTACGAAGTGAAAGGGGATATGTTGATGATAGCTATTCCAATTCTTCGACAATCACGGAGTAGTATCGCTCTCATCTCCATTTAATCGAATCCATTAAATTTTACAGGATTATGAAAGTAAACCTTAGTTGATGCACGCCGTAGCCGATATCGTCTTCGGGTACTTCGGAGGGTGTCTTAAAACTCGAGAGTAACGTCTTGAGGTGTGTAAGGGTGTATATTCTGAATTTTTCTCCGACTTTTGGCTTTGGGGTCTGCACAAAAAAAAATACTATTGGTATTGTGGTATCTCATTTGAGTATTATTGAAGATACACAACCATTAGGTAATGAACACCGGAATTGGTCTCTGTGTCCTGTTTTCAGCGAATTATACACATAAGATCATGTAAAAGTGTAAATTGTAGGGTTCTCCGTATTTTACAGCATAAGAAGTCCTTTTCCCACATGACCAAAATACTTTGCAATACGTTACTGTCTGTCTGTCTACTTTATTGGATTTCTTCTCCTTTACTTATCCGATATTCTGTGGAAGTGACCGTATAGCTTGGACACCCAGAGTGCAGAAAGGCTTATTCAAAATTATTGGAATGTCGTCTTCTAGACATTCCTACTGAGATCCCACAAAACAACATTGAGCATATATTGGAAATCTTCCAATAAAGTTTCCATCTTGAATAAGATATAGTAATTGGCATTCATATAGTCGCTGTACAAGCACATAATGTTCACAGTGGATATATTTTCCCTATCCTGGGAATACCATCGTTGGAAGTTAAAATAGTTTCATGTGGAAATAAGTTTAGGTGTATCGCGGCATTGCAGCTGTTTGCATTTGCTCACAATTCTCAGGCAAAAGCCTGTATGTACCTTAACCTGTGCAACACTTCAATTATAATGGTTTGCTTTAATGATCATACTAGTAATGAACATAATATTTCACAATAGTCATCATATAACCGATGAAAATTGTTCATACTGAATTGTTGTCCGGTATGACGCTGTAGATTCAGTTGTGATCATCCTGAATTAATTGGATGCTCACAATACTTAACCAATCTATCCAATTCTACAATTATACTGCTAATTGTAATCACAAATATTAGTGCTTGATTGGTCAAATCAAAATCGGCTGTCCCATAAAAATTATAAAACCACAATAATAAAATATAGCATTCAATTCGATCCTACTGGATACTTTAGGAAAATCCTTCCAATGCATGTATATTCTGATTTTATCAATACCGTGGTCGTCTGCTTTTTCTTCTCCTTCGATTTCCTCTTTTTTATTATTTCTTTCACTCATCTCTTTTTCGTTGAACCATATTCGCCAAATTTTTCAGAGCTCTCTTCGTTTCTTTTCTTGCCATTATAGTGACTGGGGTGAAGGGGCTTCCAATTGTTCACGTAAAGTATCTATATCTATATACAGTAGAACACCAAGGCCAGGAGTCTCAACTCCCCTGCTGCCGTGTGGATTGGAATCCCACCTCTTCTCTCCTCTTTCCTCCTCCCATTTCGATTTCAATTTAGCCTCGTTCAGTCGCAAGCAAATCTCGATCGTAGACATTTACTTCCGGACAGTTAAGTGCGCGACGTGTCGAGGGTCACACACCAGACTATAGGACATTCCAAATATCAAAGTTACCAGCCCTCAATTCCCTTCTTTGCCCCTCATCAGTTGACGCTCTACCCTCCAACACCTCAACTTCTACCGTTCCCATAGCAACACACTCGAGTTCACTCGAGCGTCATTGTCTCTAAAACATTTCTCGATATATATATATATATATACATACATATACACAAAAAGAAAAAGTTTTGTCCAAAAAGCTCTGGTATCCCGCGGATGCAGGAGACCCTAGACCGTTTCGCATGTACCCCTTTAGTATTCTCCAGAAACATTGTACTCGTGGCTCTCTTTGTTACTCATATTTTTTCTCAGCTCTCGTATACCCACAAGAACTTTGGCTCTTTAGTCGACGCCACTGGGCTCTCTTAAGAAGTACACTCAACCGGTGAAAACCCTCTTATCGCCAGTCATTGGCCAGACTAAACTTTGACTGCATTCCTTCATCTTTTTTCCGCTTCATTTCATTCCGTCCTCTTTTCATTCTTCATGTGGTGGTAGAAAGGAGTTCTTTTGCTCACTCCTTGACATTGATATTTCCGTAAATGTATTGAAATTAATGCAATTCATCTTCATAGATGTTACATGGCGGAAAATGTGTGATATCGTGATTAATGAGTATATTTTTTTTCTCAACAGCCCATGCTTCTGCTTCCCCTTTCTCAAGCCATCCGGTAGCAATGTAATGGAGGTAGTTTGTACGAACAGAACATTTTGCTCGGTCTAATCGGGTCAATTTGATACCACCATTGTAGTTTATTTTTTTTCGGAGAAAAAGAAACGCCTTCTCTACACAATGAGAGAAAACAATACCATAAAAACAAACGGAGAAAAGGCCATAGATTTCTCGTATTGTAACAACAGTCATGGGATACATAATAGAATTTTCCGTGGATAACTTTGTACGATTACTTCCAGCGGAATCATCCACTTACCTCTGCTTGACTAATTAAAATAATCATATTTATGTGGGATATTATTTGATATAAAATGTCGACGACACCTCTTGAAATACAGAGGGAATGCTAGTCTCTGATTGAATTTTTTGTGATCGATAAATTTCCTCTGGCACATTCGTCTGGGCATATTTAGTCATGTTTTTCGATTATAATTTTAACAATAATGTTTTAAATAATTCAGTTCAGTTTAGTTCAATTAACACATAAGGTGCAGAAAATTTGGAATTTTGTGCGTCGGTCCAAGAATTTTAATCGTGTATGTTTGTATTTTGACATACAATTGGGTATTCGTGTTTTCATAAATTTCGGGAGAAATGGAAATATTCGCCATTTTTCAGGGGATGATCCAATTGGCAATGGGATTATCAGTAGAACATGAGTGGATTCCGTGCAATTTCTGTTGTACCGGAAAAGACGACGGTCATGGCGATCAAGTACCAACTGTCTGAACAGTCCGATGCATGTATAACCCCAGGTACCCTCTCTTCCAACCAATCATAACTATCCACCATTTCTCTCTTTCACAGGGCTATACAGTACTGTGGTGGCGCTAGTCGCATAGTGTGCACGATAAATATGCCAAAGGGGCTTGCCATAAATCCCGTGTAATTGAATTTTCAACATCTATAACTGGTCGTAGCGTGCGACCGGAGGAAATGGAAATGCAGACGCATCTTGGACATTGTTTTCTTCCGGTGCAATCGCAGGAGCAGTGGTTTAATTGAAGAAATTAAGGAAGGAGAAAGATATTGAGCAATTTGATATAAATGGAAGTGAACCACTCGACATTATTCAATGCATCACGTTCTACAGTAGACTTCTCCTTTTAATATCCAGGAGAATTTTCCTCATAATATTGGAAACGTTTATTCGAGGATATACTAAAAATTTCAAGGATAACAGAATTGTGGGAATACCTATTTCAATCTCTGGTAATATTAGAACTTTAATTAATGTTTTCTCATCTTCTGCACTCATAATTCACGGAAAAATCTTCGTTCTTTCGCTTCAATGCCTTTCCATTGGCTCGTGACACATAGGATAGAAAACTTTGATTGTACAACGGGAGTCCAATGAAAGAAAGTTAGGAAAAAATGCAATATATAACGGGAGTGGAAGTGAGATGGAGAAAGGTTGAAGGAAACTGGAAATGAGTTCGAGCAGTCGGGACCAATGGCAAACAACGAGTGATAGCAGCCGCAGGATATTTCCCTTGATCTTTTGGTGTTGAAATTGTAACAGAAGAAAAAGAATAGTGGAAAAGATAGGAAACAGCAAGCATGAATCGCTGGTGATTGGAAATCTAAAGGGTCGTGTCATTGCACAATTCATATATTTTAGATAAAAATACGGATTCACCAAATGTGTTATAAAGTTCAAAGGAAAATTGAAGATGAAATATAACTGAATTTTACTTCCACATATCCTGAAATGTCCCGAATATATTTAGAAATATTCGATTTCTCTACAGATGTCAATATAAGAGATTTTAAAAACGATAAACGGACAATGAAAGAGATTATGGGCCCTGAGTGAATTATATCATAAATCGCAATTAAAAATATATATCACAGTCTCTGTACAAATTTTTCTCCGTTTAGTTTCCATTTTGTGCAACCGATCTAGGAAACCATGTACATTTATTATTCAAACGACATTATGTTTCTTACTGCCAATTCAGAGTATGTAGATTCGTCTTGTAATGCATCCAGTTCAAGTACAAATTTTACGAGTGGTTGGTCGTAAAATCGGTAGAGAGTGATCGAAAATAGTTAATTCTCTATGTTCCGATTGTTCTTTGCGCACGCTTTATGTATGTCGGTGTGTGGTCATTAAAAAAAACGATCAAATTCAACTTATATACTGACGTAGTTCTCTCCAACCATATATATCCATCAAAATACATGAAGAACAAGTGAACTTGGTACACCATATGTACCATTAACAATACCGCTCATATGAAAATATTCAAACAATTAGTTTGTTATCAATCTCAAGTTTGTAATCAATGTTATCCATTGTCATCGAAGTGACGAGATTGGAGAATCGGTCGAAGAGGGCAGCACAATATATTCTCACCAAGTAGTAAAGATCAATATTCACCCGGCCCCCACGACCATTGCGGAGTTTAGAAGAATTCAATGAAATCGAATGAATGCTTCCAATTGTTTTATTGATAATTTGTTGCTATACATACTCATTTCCTATGGAACAGTCCACATTTACATGAAGCGAAATTTCTGGGTGAAAATGAATTTTGTGAATGCCTCAAGTTTCCCCGAAAAATTAATCCAACAGAATTGACACTCGAGAGAGTCTGCACTGGTGGTGGTTGATAATGCAGTCTCCTTGAGTATCTTTGATGATTACTGTAGCTTCAGATGTTCATTCAAATTCACTAGTTCGGCAGACCTTTTAAGCTTCGTCGGTAGTGATTTTCTCAGTTACTGCGGATGTATTATCGTGAGTTGGTTCTGGCTCGTGAATACCCATCCACTTACATCGTTTTTGCAACTCCAGTCGGTATCTGGTGAGAATTGCAAATTAAATTATACCATCGAACGAACTATCACCATTGTTGCGCTGAGAAAAAAAAACACTGATCATGGATTTCCGTGATTATTGATCGTCATTCAATCTTGTAGTCTCGCCTTGATAACGATATTCACACATGAATATATTTATTTATATAAATTATTCTCTGTTAGTTCAGTGCGATCCAAACGTACGTGGACTTGATCAAAGTCCGCACAGTGTTGATTCAAAAGCATAATCGTTTGTGAAGAGAATCTTTTAAAATCAAATGAAGATTTAGCGGCATGGATTGGTAAATATTTTGTGAAAATATTAGCTCAAGGATCTGGTTGGTTGGTAGTGAAAACAAGTCTGTTGGAAATTTTCCTTTTTTCTCAGAGTATTTGAACATAAAAAATTACCTTGGATGATTGATAGCGTAGATCCATGGATCTATGCAAGATACTGTTTTGGCGAATAATGCCGGAAGCATCGTCGAGAAGGGTGTCAGTGCGTCCCTGATGATTGATAATTAATAGTCGATAAGAAATTTCGATCATGATAACTCAATTACTTACCGATTTCCAAAAGTTGCTGTCATTGCAACAATTCCGTAAGGCGTCCACGAGCAAACAAACAAGAAGAAAATTGTGAATGCAACCTTGGCGATTCTCATTTCCACGCTTCTTTCTTTATCCTGGTTGGATTGTAAGGATTTAACATTCATCTTTTTCGCCTGGAAGAGAAAATCCAATGAAGAATGGGGGAGGTTCAATAAAAACTCTTTGCCGTGGAATCCTCATGCTAAGTGGATTGAAATTTCATTACCTGATCATGGAGCATTTTCTCATGTTTACGGACAGATCCAATTAATTGTGAATAGCAAAGAACAATCAATGCCATTGGAATGGCATATGACCAGACGAATATGCTACCAACAAAAACTCTTGTGTCCTGATCCTCGGTCAAGAAGTCAAAACTGCAGGTTGTCAAGAAACCCTCTGCACTCGGAAACCAAAAGTATTACTTCGCAGAGGTCGTAATCCATTGAGATATTAAATGTAATGGACTTGATGTCATTTACCTGGTACAAATCGTCCCCATATTCTGAACATGGGTAAAAGGGTGAATGGCATAGTCCAGAACCAGGTTAAGGCGATGATTACTGCTGCCTGCTTACCATTTAAACGGCCATCAATTGGACAAGAAATTGTCCTATTGATTCATACAATAAAAATACCATTACTCAAGACGTACTGAAGCCGAATAAATGAATCGAAATATATTTCCATACTTATAGCGATCAAAAGCAATTGCCGCGTTATTGATTGCAGAGCCAATTCCGGAGATACTTCCGAATGCTGCGTAAAGATCACAACCAAGTTCCCAGCCCATTGGACGCTCTAGATAACTATTTATAAGGAACATTGGCATATCTAACATCATTATCAGATCGAAGATCGCCAAATTTATGACGAACATATTTGAAGGTGTTCTCAGTGATTTTGACCTGGAAATAATGGGCCTCGGTTTCAATGGATTTAGCACCCGGAGAAACAGAATTCATGTTGATTATACGTACGTGCTAAATATCCATACCACACAGCCATTACCCACGATTGACAAGCACATCAACATGAAATAGATCAAAGAGAGACCGATATGCCAGAATTTTCCGGGAGCTAGAAATCCACGCCAATAGGGATGCACGAGATCAGAATGTTCTGGTGGAATATTCCAGCCTAACAAGCGGTCCTGCATTTGTTGAACTTGTCTGTAAGTGTATTGAAATTTAATTTTTTATGATGGGCACCCCTAATGCATTCACTGACAGATACGGGCCAATAAATTAATTAAAAGACCGCAGGAGAATCCCGGATGCATTGAATTATGGTTGTAGAATAATAGGAATCGAAGTTAATGAAGGTCACATAAATATTTTGAGATATGAGATATAATTAACGATCAACTAAAAGGCTTGGCCACCATTTTTTCCATAACAGTAGAACTCATTTGTGCAAATATTTTTATTTGCCGAATGGCTTACGGAAAAAATATACGAATATCATTTCCGCTAATTAGCCTATAGCGCGTTTTCAGGTATCACCCAAATTGAAATTATACCTTATTATGAAATTGTAATATCTCGCGTTTGTCCAATGAAGAGTGGATTTAAATAAATGCATGCAAAGAATTGTGTCCAATATTTCTTTCCAATTGAAACGAATCCATTCTAAATTTAATGTTCATTAGAGGATCCTCAAGAGTTTATTGGAAGCCACCGTAATTATTGATTGAAAAATCTTAACATTTGCATAAAATTTTCAATTCATGATTGGATTGTGAATCAATAGCTTAAAACGTCGTAGTACAGAAATATTCCACGTGTCATTAATTCCTCGCCGTATTGCCATTGGTAGACAGGTTAATGACGAGAAATGTTCGGTCAAATGAGAGCTTTAGATGTCTATCACAAAATTAAGCCTGATTGGATTACCAGCAATGGACAATACCGAGTGATTAGCCCAGAGGCATCTGAATACAAACACGGTAGAAATACACAGCAATCGTCAGCAGACTGACTCGACATTGAGAGCTGCCGGGAACATTATACTCTATCCCACCCTTGATGTACTTTCTTCATTCCATTTTAATTTTTTTTTTCCGCTTCATACTCTTACTAGCTCTATAACATTTTCCACCAGACTCAGTGCTTTTCGTTCTATCGCCAGGTCCGCTTTAATTTTCCCTAGTCTACTTGGTTACCCTCCAAGGCAGTTGCCAATTCCATCCGCTGTAGCCAAGAATCTTACCCCTCTACTCACCCCCTTTTCTTCTTTCTTTCGATCCACTTTTTTTTTCCTCCGTTCGACACAATACCGAGTGATTATCAAAGAAATAATCAGGCGCACTCACCCAACTCCACCTACACCGACTCCACCAACAAAGGCCTGCATTGGGCTGATTATGTTGCTATCGTTGAAGTACATCTTCGGTCTCCTATTTCTTCTTCACGTCTATGTTCTTCTTGATGTTCTATTGCTTTCAGGGATTCCAATGTTGAAGGAATTCTGATCCGTGGTTCCTCCACGCTATTATCTGTAAGTGAATTCACTGGAATGCAACTCCTAGTTAATAGTTATGAATTAAAAAAATCTAGAGTATATGTGAATTAGGAAATGTCGTACATGATGAATAAAGAAGGCCGCTATCCGTCAATGGTCAATATCAGAACCAGCTAATAATTCGAGGTAAATTTGGCAAAGAAACGAAAGTAAAATAGGGAGTTGCGATAGGTTGCTCTGATTTAGACACGAGGGACAATCGACCACAAGCTTTATTGTTTGAAGTGAGACGCGGGGCGATGGGTTCGGGAATACGTTCCGCAACTCACTTGGGTCTCATAGTACTACCCCATTCCCTTTTATACACTCGTGTACCAAAATCCCGAATGGCGTGCTAGCTGAGAATTTAATTCGATTTGCAGATGGGGAAACCTTTTGTTCGGCTCAGGTCGACTGGTCACGCGATTTTATATCAAAATATATCCCCTTTGCACCACCCATCATCCAATCTATTTTCTCGCTCTCTACTTATTTTCTCATGTTATCTCATATTCTCTGACCTTCTCCTTTTGCTCTTCGTTATTAAAACCTAATGTCATTTTCTGTATTATGGGTTGTCCACAACTAGTTCGACATCATTAGGAATTCTCCTGCGACGCACATTACGGCTTATTCCGTTGGAATTCACTGCTGTACAGTTGAATGAAAGACCGTAAGCAGTCAGGCGTAAACGCCGAGTGATATTCCGTCCTGTGATATTTCTCTCTCTGACTCTAGAGATTCTTCATCACTGGTCCATGATTTTCTCGAAATTCTAATAAGACAGAGGTCTCTCACAAGCTGTGAGGAATATTAATGTTTACACATATCTCCAATTGACATGACTTATTCCTTATTGTACGTTTTCGTCTCCTTGACGAGACGGATCAATTGAATTAAATCGATTCCCACCTCTTCTACTCATACACCCATCTCTCCAAATTTACTGAGATTATTCTCAGTGCTTTGAAAATAATTTCTTCCACTCGCAACGCACCTATTGGAAAAAAAATTAACCAGCTGACATCCTGGTGATTAGGTTCCTGTAACTGCCTAATCCTATTCACAATTTTGTTAATTTCATACAATAATTATCCTTAGCTTGAATTCTCTTATATTTCCTCAGCGATATATATTGCATAAAAAGAGTAGAGGAAAAAGTACGAACATTGTGTTAACTCACCAGCGCTCGGTTGAACTCGTGAGTGGGTCTCTCAACGCGCATCTACCGGATTAAACCGTAAAATTGCTCGGGGACAACCGCGAATTTTCCTGATTTACGGGTCTAGCGGTCGTTAGTCGGCCAAGCCCCTGCCCTGGGGACCGTCAGCTCTGCGGAAAGGCGCTGCGGTTCCTCTTCATTCACTCTTCCTTTATTTTTTTTCTCTTCGGCGTGATATGCTGGGGAGCCGAGAGCTCGATGTGAAAGAACACGCACATGGGGGTTTTATCCATGGACTACATTCACCCGGTTGGGCACAACTTTTCCAGGAAGTTCGGTACAACCTCTTTTGCACAGACATTTGTTTTTCACCACACCTGCCTCTTGGAAATAAAAAACTCCTCTACATTTATTTTATTATTTTACCATTCAGCTATTCACTGTATATATTTACCGTGTTCGGTGTTTGTGCATGCAACAGCAAAGAGTCTATCGCGGACACCGGTAGTATGGTGGTCACTGCTGGAGGGTCTGAATTTTCAAAAAAAATGTATTATGTTTGGTCAACGCCGGATGAGAAAAGTGTTCGGCTGCATGGCCAACTAGTAAAATATCAACGAATATGAGAATTTTTAGGGACCAACCAGAACGAAGGAGAAAATAAAAACGAGTGTCAGAGATTGAAGAGCAAACAATGCAGATAGAAGTCCGATTAAACGTGACAATGCGAATAAAACATTCGATATGACGGGAGTTTTCTCTATTATCCGCTCTCGTCTGACTGCTACTTCTTTTTACACATTTTTCTTTGCATTTATGCGGTGTGTTTTGTTCCTGCAGCGCTATCAGTGACACATGTCATTCTGCTGGGAGGGGTATTTCAATGAGTCCCTGGCGCGTGTGAAATGTCCGTCTGGCTGATGAGGCATATGATAAAGCCTCGTCCAGAATTTAAAAACAAACACTGTCAATTGAACAAAAAAGTTATTTACTTGAGGGTCCACACCCATCAAAATCCTCACTGTTATTTTAACTCGGCAGATAAAAATTGAAAGAGAATGGGTGACAATTACGGGTAAATGGTGGTTGTGTTTTAAGTCAGCCTGATGTCACACGAACAATCACTGATAATAATGTCATTGTCATTATCGTTCAGTGAACTTGCATCTTACTTGATGCAATTGCGATTTCTTCTCCTGTAAATCACCGAGGAAGACATGGTTTACTTCAGTTTTTGGTCACTATCCCCTGGCCACTAAAATTTAGTTTTTATGTCACATCTGCCATGACAATTCGTCCTTAAGCTACAGGAATGCAGATTGGAGCGACACGGATTAATGAGAATTAACGCTAATTGGTCGGGCATCAAGGGAATTGCATGGGTGTGTAGAGGAAGAACAAGAGGTGAACGGTTCGGGAGCAATGGCAGCCAACCAACGTATTCCAGTATCACCACCCATTCCACTAGTGACTGCAAGTCCAGAATCGGTGGAAGGGGCATTCGACCAGAACACTTATTCCAAGTCAACAGGCGTGCCGATTATTCAAATTGTCAGTATTCCAATTCGCTACGAATGCGAATATATGCTGATCAATTGTGATCGATTCAACGGAAATGTTATGAAAATTATTATTTCTCCGAGGTTCTCATATCTGGAATACATTAGCACACAAAGAAAGATATTAGAATCATTACACCGTGGTTTTGTATTACTTTCAGAATCATATGCGTTAAAATTAAGAAAAACTTCATGGAGAGAAAAATATTGGGAAATGTACGCGAGAAGTTCCATGGAAATTACGGTTTACGTACTTTTTCCTGTCTTTTTCTCTCCATTTTGGTATTATTTTGGTATTATTTATGCAAATAATTGTATGAACTTCATAATTATATGAAAGTGCATTTTACCGTTTGTTACCGCCAACCTAATTAATTTTCCTGCCAAAAGAAAATGAAGATGGTGTGATGGGCTTCATTTGTAATTTCAACATTCATTTGTAATTTCGACATTCAGTACATATGTATACTGAAATCGTTGCCGACAGCCTGGCCAGAGTATATCCAGAGCTTAATGTCAAAAAATTGTAAACCAACTGATGTGAATGAATATATAATGGGTGGAGAATGAATTGAAATGAAAAAAACCTCGGAACGATCAACCGAGACGGACATTCAGTGTGAAAAATTCTCGCTGTTAATAGAGTCTATACACTTTTCACTCGACAACGAGACTAAAACTCTTTATTACAGCATAACTCGTTTCACCAGTTATATGTTTTTATGGAAACGTGTATGGAAAATCAGAATCTTTGCAGTGGTGAAAAATTCAACGTTCGAAAAGCTGACAGCACACTACTGACAAAAGGGAGAAACATTGACGAAAAGTGCCCACAGCATTTCAACTGAACTTCCAGTCCGACAATCCAATGTTTCAATTGAAAACGAACGCTTCGTCATGGCGAAATCGTTTGTTGATTTATATAGAAAATTCCCGGCCGTTGAATTGCTTTTTTTTTTGTATGGTTCAGCTTGATTGAACGACAAAATGGAATTTGCTTTCATTCGCATGCATTGACATCATAAACGACGAGAGCTAATCGATTCCACATCCGTAAATGTGACTATTTCGAGATTCTCCATTTTTCTATGATGCCCTGCGCTAAGTACAATTGCTTATCCCATACTCATCGTTATTTTCTTCGAACGTGGTGCATGAATTCCGCCAAGTAATCACCAAAAGCCAAGTCAAACGTATAGACTAGTCGTAATGTCGATTTCACAAAACTCTTCGGAAATATCTCCATAATTCTAGAAATTGCCTTTTGATGTACAAGATGAAAGGGGCCTCGATTCTCAAATGGCCCTGGCTGTAATGGTTACGTGTACGGGACGTCAACGGAGGGAAAAATAGAGAGGAGGGAAATAGAGAGGGTTGGTCCGCACCAGAGTTCTTCCTTTTCTGCACTTTTAACACGAAATTGAAGAACTTTGAAGAACACAATGGATTCCCGCGTCCCGTTGACAAAACGACTCTTCGTCGACTGACGTGCCTTTTCTTTCTTACTGAATCGGCCTTGCTCTTGCTTGTTTTCTCTTCATTCCACTCAGTTCTTTGGCCCGTCTCTTTGCTCTACGAAAAACCAGCGTCTACTCGGAGGGCCTTGCTGCACCACTTCTGGCAATTTGAAACAATAACCTACGTTATGCAATGTTTTGCAAAACTCATTCCCCATATCGAAGCGGAGGAACGTTATATTTTCATCTTTGATGTTTTTACATTTTTCCAGTGTTCGGAAAAATTTTAATTCCTCTATTTGAACTTTGAGTTTTCACAGTGAAAAAAAAATATTCTCGCAGAAATGGAGATTTTCAGGTCTTGCGAGACCAACCCGATAATATTATGAGTAAATTCTCATTACGCAATCTCAGAATTAGTGAACAAGTGGTACGTTAATTTCTCCACGTAATTAGCGAATTTCCATTTATGTGTTCTCAACTGAGCTATATAATTACATAGTGTTATTGCACTGTAAGTATATGTGGAATTATTAAAACAACAAACGACGGCCCATATGTGCATCCCTTAGGTCTCAGCACACATAATATGTTGACGCTGATTTTCCAATATTACTGCAAATATGCATTCATTGCAGGCCTGCAGCGAAAACCACATCGGCTGCGCGATCAATACACTATTCATAATATTTATTGGTCACAGAAACTTATAAAAATCACACTTTTTTAAACAAACAAAAATTGTAGCAAAATGTCAGCAGTGTTCTTTAGATACATTGAACAAAATGTTTAATAATACTTACAGATCAATTCGCCCATTCTGCTATGAGAGATTATCTTGCGGATTTTTTTACAGAAAATATTATGTAACACACAATTATTGTTGTTTTTCGAAAGATCGATCACGAGGTAACGATTGATCTTGTCGTGTAATAAAATCTGTTACAATGCCTTTAGTTAAGCTTGGCTCAGCCTTGAGTCACCATTGATCCAACTGTGTCCGCGATTCAATAGATCTCAACGGGGCCCGGCTTACACCCTCCGACCAAATCCTGACTAAACTCTGATTAAACCTGGATTGAGTAATTTAAATATATTTCAACTTCAT